CAAATACGATTAATGGAGAAGGCCCATAGCTAGAGGTAAATTTCCAGGAACAGAATGAAAGCAGCGGTTCCCTGTTACTTAATTCATGCGTACTGGAGAGAGGAGCAGATGCGCTGAAGATTAGTGTTCAGCGAATAAAATCAGAAGGTTAGAACGGTTTGCCCATAGTAACACCAGGGGAAACTCACAAAATCAAAAACTGCAGGACCGATGATGAAAGTGATGCCGTCAAAACAAAAAATAGGAATACTTTCTACGATATGAGAAGTAAAGGACAATATATCACGACCTCTGCGCTCAAGATTCGCCCATGGTACGGAGAATTGATCTGATTACTTATTTCATATGGCGTTGATCACGTAACCGCCAAGAACGGTAACTAGAACTATATAAACAATGTAGTCTTGCAATGCGTTTTTTATTGGGCTTTTATAATGGCCGCTTCAAGCGCTAGCACCGCACTACAGATGAAAATGTAAGAGACAAAATGGAAAAAATGAGTGACGCTATTGTAAAAAATGGTGCCATGTAGGTTCCCACGCCACGTAGTTCATAGAGGATTACGTCCAATGCAAACTAGAGCCTCTGAGAAAAAAGACAGTCAAATAGGTCCTTACAATTAGTCCATAGACATCCTTTCCTTGCCTTACCGGTAGCGCATCTGAAGCGTCGCCTCTCCCCGAGGAGAGACGTGGCGTGGTCAGAGCACAGAAAACACTATGCTGTGGCGCGGAAGAAATACGTGTGATATCATACCAGAATTACAGAACACAGACCAAGGCCGGCGATATGATGCAGGAAGCAGCAGCCGCGGCCGGTAGGAGTTTTAAGGACTAATATACACATACACATGTACATAAAAAATGGGTTGGGTTGACTGCACTTCCTACGCAACGCCCTCATGAGTTCATAAATGATTAACGCAATTTAAATCCTCTGAGAAAAAAGTCAGTTACGAACAAGTTCAACAGAGAAATTAAACGGATTAAATCGGTCAAACAGGCCCTTACAATTAGTCTATAGACATTATTTCCCTGCCCTATCGGCAATGTGGCTATGTTGTCCCTTTCTGCGCGACATCTCTGCAGTGGCTTGTTTCAGTTCGTGCAAGCTCCATCTGTTTTCTGGGCTTCAGTACGAATACATATTTTGGTTTGATAGGCCAGTGCGGATCGAAAACATTTCTCTACCATTCTGTTTTAAAGGTAAATGTACGGGCAAATTTATGATATGTTAAATATGGTTAATAGGTGCATAGAATAACCGGGGTTGGGAGCGTATAGATATAGTAAGATCTGAAATAATTGCATATACTCTCCTCCACCCCCTACAACCAGGATTCTGTTTCTCAGGCACCACTGGACCGATTTGCAATCATTACAAAGCGTTTGCGTCATTGACATAGTAGTAACATTGTGTAAGCATTTCATCGAATTTCGAGCAGTACTTCTCAAGTTATAGGCGGTTATAAGATTAGCGGACAGACCGACAGAAATGAGTGACAAGGTTTTTCGTGATTTACATGTCGTACAACATCCAACAAATAATATCTCAGTATGCGTGGGAAGTAATAAAACAAACATTTTTGTGGATTCGTGTTGATAGTGTCAATTTGGAACAACGAATTAACAATCAACATCTGACACCAAAACGTAAAAAGAGAGATTTGGAAGTTTCCAAAGTTGCTTAATGTTATAAAAGGGTATTACCAATTTGACCAGTCAGGATAGAATCTACAACTACGCTTAGTACTAAGGCAAGGCACCAACAGAATTTGACCAAGGCATACACTAAAGAGTAAAGTATGCATTCTTAAAAAGGTGTCTCGAAGATATCATGATGATCTCAGACTCCAATGTCCGTCAGAATTAAAACTTCAGCAAAGATCGAATAATACTGTGCGTACAAGAACCATAACAAATAACTATCAAAAAATAAACTTATATAGCTAGAGTTATCTGAAAGAATAAACTACAACGTTTTTACAGACAAGAACTGAATCCACTGAAATTCATAAACTCGTTGAAGATAAATTATAAATTAAGTTGAGGATTTTGCCCTCGAGACATGGCTACATTAACAGACAGAAATAACATATATAAAGTCATGAAATACGTCGACAGTTGACACAATTTACTTACACTTTTATAAAGAAAATCTCAGGTTTACCTTTTATTGTTCCATAAGTCTTTTGTTGTGCATATTTCCCAACTGTACTGGAGTAATTAATGATCATAGATACTCGCATTTGCATACTATGGCTTTTGAAAGGTGTATTTAGACCTTTCGCATTGTTTGATAATCGAGAAAGATCATATTTCTGCATTCCAAGGACTGCGAACAAAATATTGAACACGAAGCACTTTGATTGTTCAAAACCATTTGGAATTGCGTCAAATGTTGAACACGTCAGTTTTGACTTACGATCCTGAAAACAACGCGTCTAACTATAGCTAATTTTGCAATTTGTACTGAGATTAAGGACTTTTTTGTCTTTGGATTCGAACTTGTTACATTATATCTGGAATGCCAAAATAAAAGTATCAGATTAACGGAGAATAATCCTTTTGCGATAATGAGGGTTTACCTAGACAAGATACATTTTTAATAGACGAAATAGTTTGCTTACAGCTATACACTCATAATATACTTTTTGGTTGCAGAATATTTGTATTCCGTCTAAATAAAATTAATTAATTACAATATCCTACATCCTGGTTTATTGAACCTGGCATTAGGATCACCCTGATTAGAACTCAAAAATTCTTCCACAGCTTCGTTTATTAAGCAATAACCGAAGTTAACCATGTAGGGATGGTATCATTTTGTAATAACTTGTAAATGTGATTAATTGTTAACTAATTAAATAGCTTTTCATGATAAGGGGTCATTTGCACCCTCTGCCAGTAATCAAACTAAATGATGACTTATATTTCGCCTGCTCATTTGATGACTGTTCTTCAAAAACATTGATCTAATTTTGTGATTTGGAAAAAATAGTACGAGCCCCTTCTCACTTTAGTTGGCCCACTTCAAGATTTGTACCAAAATATGCCTTTATAAACTAAACATGACGAAACTATTTACTTCTAAAACAATTTATTTTCTAAAAAACATTTTAGATACACTCTAGTCGTAAAAAATACATATTTGAAGTCACTTAGACCTATAACTAATAGAACATCTGAACAAATAAACAATGTTCGAATAAATGCACGAAGTTAACAAAGCAACAATTGAAAGATTACCATTGGGTAACATCACCTTTATTTTTTATTACGGCTGAAATTCTTTGGGGCATAGTGTTAACCAAGTTTTGGCAAAAATTTGGTCTAAAACAATCCCATATTTCTTGAAGCTTTTGTCCCAGTTCGGTGATTGTACGAGCAGGATGTTATCGTAGAACCTTTTTCATCTCGTGCCACAAAGTTTCAATAGGTGTCAGATTTGGACTGCTAGAAACCCATTTCAAAAGTGGTACATTATTTTCTTCCATCCATTTTATAGCCTTTTTTTGAGGTATGGCACGCTGCACCATCTTGCTGAAACACAAAATCTTGGCTGGATGTCAAACATTCTTCCATCACTGGTAAAAGCGATTCTTCTAAAATTGCCAGATATTTGTATCCACATTTCTATCAACAAAATGAAGTTTCCTACTAATTTTGATGACATACTGCCCCAGATCATAATGGATGCTGGAAATTTCAGTTTTCTCTTCAGACAGTCAACATGGAATGCTTAATTTTTTTTGCGAATAACTCTACTGCAACTGTCACCAACACAAACTTCGAATCGAGCCTCATCACTCCATTGTATTGCACACCATTGTTGGGATGTCCATTGTCTATGTTCTTTAGCCCATCTACGTATAAGCCGATTTTTCTTTTGCAGTGGAGTTAATAGTGGCTTTCTTTCTTTGGCCTATAAACAAGTTGTGCAACTTTAGGGTTTTTACTTCACTTTTTTTATAGCAGAACTTACCTTGCAAGTACTAAATCTCAGTTTGTGGGCCTCTCTATGAGTTGTGGACCTCGAAATTCTCCTTCCAACAGCGTCACTCCACAGAGCACTTAATTGTAAATAATTGGCACGCCTGTTTTTCATGATTATTCTTCTTAATGCTCTTCGGTCGGCATTTGTGATATTACTTTTTCACATATCGTGGCTTAATATTATCTGAACCAGTTACGTTATATCTTCTATAATATTTCTCACACTGTACCGCGATAAGGGTAACAAAGTTGCAACTTCTGAGTTTGATTTCCCAGAATTAAAAAAAATAATTGTCAGTAACCGAATTTTCTCACTAATAACCTTTCCTCTAGCCATTTTGAAAACCTTAACTACCCAAAACTATTTTAAACGTATTCTGACAGCTGTGATTAATAAAAACAATTGTCATGGGCTTTTATTTTTCACAGCTACCTATGCGTTATAGACTTATTTGGCATTGAATTGAAAATAGGTTGATATGCTGTAATTGCAACATGTGTTATTTTTATGCTGCAAATTTGATTAGGGGGTGATAAAGTTGGTGTTTTCTACTATATATTATCAAAATATTTATTGTTAATATTTTAAACCTATAACACCCTGCTACATTTTTATTATTAGTGTTTGATAAGAAAAAACTAAGATTTCAATAGTTGGGCCAACTGAAGTGCGAAGGGGCTCGTATAATTTTTTATAAATACATATTCGCTCACTGAATTCCTGAGGTGATTAATTTATACTCAATACTCTACCGTGGAAAAGCCTGAAAGTGGAAGCCGAAACGTCAATGGATCTATGTCCTCGACAAGTTTTGAAAAACAACATGATAACGATTGGCGTTGCGTTGTAGACTGACAGGATTACTGTGACGGCATATCAGGGGTTTGGGTTCAAATCCTCCTCGCACTCATTTTTCTTATCTCTCAAATTGTGCTTTAGAATACTCACTATTTCGGATGCATTTATAAAAAAGACGCATACAAACTTTGATTTTGTTCATACAGTGCTTCAGCTGAGCTCAGCCCATGTGAAGCAGCTTATCAGGAGCGGGGATGTGAGCAAGATAGAAGAGGCTGTTTTGGATGGACAAGGCAAGAAACTCATGAACGAATTTTCGGCTGACTATAGGATCAGATCGTATTTGAAGACTATACCCACGTTAATGGTAAGTTATCATTAAAATATTTTTTCTAAGATTGCAACAAAAATATCGAATCGATAAGACTCACGTTACGTTGCGTTAGTTTTGACAGCAACAGCAAATAAGGATGGTTGGAAAAACAAGAGTTCTTATGAACCGTAGTAACTTGACAGTACTGACAGTTATGAGAAGTTGCCTATTTTTTGTATATTTTGATGTAAAGCTAACTCCAAACCATGTTAAATTTTCTGACGGAAAAGTTTCGTTAATATTTGTGTCCAAACGGGAAAAGAAATGAATAGGTTTAGAATCATAGCACGAACAACTTAATGGATTTATTTGACGTGAAATTCCAGTTCTACACCTTTGAAATTTGGACATGAACTCAATTCATGAAGAAATCCGTGGATTTATTGTCAATGTAAAACGGGTATTACGAAATAAGCAAGCCCTATTAACCGTAGCTAACGGATCTTTCCTATTTCGATAACGGACAACGAAAGTTTGTCTTGCCACTGCGCAAAATCGAAATAAGGAAGGTCATAACGAAAAAGCAAAAGTACCAAAAACTCCCTACTTAAGATTTCGTTATATTCATTAGAATTTACTACAAATTTGCAAAAAACATGTTTTATTGCTCGCAGTTAGCCGAGCATAATTTATGGTTGTCAAGGACCGAAGGAAATGGTGAAATAGGAGAACTTCAACGCTTTTGATATCGAAAGTCGTTTGACATACCGGATGTTACCACTAATATCCAATATATAGCTCAAGCTTCTTCAGGTAATGTGAATCGGCGTAAATGGCAACACTGGCTTGCTGCTTTCCGGACAGTTTTTTTTTGCTATTTACACTATCTATGATGGTTGATTTGTGTAACATTAGTGGTAACATACTGTATAAGGATTTTGTGGATACAGTGTAGTCTGGCACAGCTGAAATGGATTTTTTATTTATTCAGCCCAAGATAGATATGTATGCAAATCTAATGACCCATATATTAAAATTGCATTCGAGTGTGTGGCAGTAATCCCTAGAATTACCAATGAGCAGATTTTATAAATCTGTCTAGCGTGCCCCGCGTGTGTAAAACAGTCTAAGCATGGGAATTCGATTGATTTTTTGTTATGCCTTGCATTTTTAATAGGCGCATATTGATTATGACTCATTTCTGCATGTCGTGATCGCCATCCCGCTTCTGATGGAAAACATTATTAATTTACACGCGCCGCCCGCGCCGACAGTTGTTTTTGCTTTCGCGGAATATGTCGTGCGGTGCAGGGAATTCAACAGGAAGTCGTATTGAGTGTTTATCACAAACACGAATAATTTGATTGCACATTATGTACTGCACATTTCACTGAACATATGTAAAAATGCTGAACGTGCAATTTTATTAAATATAGTGAATGTGTATATATCGGATACACCTATTTGTTAACGTCGCACGTCCCCTTTTATCGAAAGCCTGTTTAGAGGAGTATACTTAATACGTTTTGTACTATTGTTTCATGGTGAATAGAGATGAAAAAAAAATTATCAATCTCTTGTTGTTAAAATTGCATTTTTATGAATTTTTTCTTCGATCGTAACTTGTTAACAAATAGTGGTACAGCTCTGAAATTATATGTAAACATTCCACTTTTATATAAGAAGAATTGAGCGGGCGATTACTTTTTTTTAAATCTTTGCTTTTCTTGTAAAACTCAATTTTGTGGAAAATGAGTTATCAAGAAAAGTAAGGATTTTTTTGAGAAAAAAAAATGTAACGACAAAGTACTACTGCTCAATTCTACTATAAAAGTGGAATATCCACATAAAATTTGAGAGGTATACTATTTTTTGTCAACATGTTACGATTGATGAAAAAATCCACAACAAAATTCACAAAAAAAAATTTATAACAGAAATTGATAACAGTGTTTTTCAATCATCTCTGTAAACATCATGAATTAGATGAAAACTATTAAAAATATTCCTCCAAACAGGTAGTAGAAAAAAAGGGATGTATGGCCTAATCGAGATTAAAGATTACCTAGTACTTCGCCACACAGAAATATTTTAAATTTGAAATTTATTCTACAACAGCAGCAATTTAATGTTTGAGATATGTTTCTTTTTATTTTCTCGGTATTCACTATACTAGCGTAATCGTAACGTAAAAATAAAAATGGCTGCCATTTCAAGGGGGGTGAGGTAGGACATTGTAGGGGGGTGGATTTGTCGATAAAAATAGCTGAAAAAAAACCCCCTTAAATATCGGTATATCGTGACCAAACACATTGTATATATATATAGGTACGTTATCTAAATGGCTATGAGAGTTTAAAAAACAGATGTTTGGAGCTACTATCTGCGAGTTTGAAGAAATCACAGAAAAAACGTTACATAATATAGTCATAAATTTCCTGCCAATTTAGAATTTTAATCGATAACATGATAACAACATAAAAATGACAAAGTGTCTTTGGGTAACTTTTTGGATCCAGACTTTCATTTATACGACACTGCACTAGTTTGAAGCTCTTCCTTTCCCTTCAAAAAATACCGCGCAACATACATTCATTGCAAAAACATCATAAGTCATGTGACTTACTTACGCACTACTTGACGGCGCTGCGGGTACTTGAGTAGGTCATTTTAAAAGCAGTACCAGGATTTATTTCCTTTTCATATTATGCTATATGCACTAAAGTACCAATTTTAAGTTAACTAATTACAAAAATATGATTATGGGCAAATGTAGTATCCACTTTTCCCTATCCGATTTGCCAAAAATCACTTATGTTGGAGTTTTCTTGTTTTCTACCAGAAGCATTGATTCAATCCTTCTCATTTGTACCACTGACAAAGTCCTTTAAATATACGCTAGTATAAAAATGGTTTTAAGCGCACAACACCTATATTGCAAAATGGATTTTTTTGTTCAAAAAATATGTACATTTTGCTGTCTGGTAGTGAAACAAGCATGTGGGTTCTTCTACAACCGATTACCGTTTATTGAAGAAGGTGGAGCGAATAAGTCTATGTGTGTCCGATTAAGGATTTGAATGTAAAACAGGAAATTCAATTTATTTCTTCCGCTTTGCCAAGGTTTCCATTGTGTGTTTTAAGTATATTAAAACATGCAAAATGGAAAAATGGCGTCAAGCGGGTTGACGCAGTTCAAATGCAACGACGTTACCACTTCATAAAGGTTTATGTTTGGCACAAGGTACACCCTCTAAGAAAAAAGTTAGCTACGAGCATGGATAAAAGACAAATTAAACGGATTAAGTCAGTCAAATTGGCAGTACCGTCCATCTAGCAGGCTGGCATGCCCGCCGGTGAGCCCAGAGCAGAAACAGAGACGCGTATCGAAAACATTCCTACATCACTATCAGTTTTAAGGGCAAATGTATGAAATCTATGATGAATGAAATATAGGTTGTTAGCGGATAAATTTACAAACATAAAAAAATTTGATATACCCTCTCACATTCCCTACAACCCCGCACCCCATATTTTTTTTGTCCCTCTAAAACGAAATTTGAGCTACTTTATTTTTTTTTGTTTTTTCCCCTCTGGACTTTTTTTTTTTTTATACTCCAACTACCACGAAGGCCTAAGGCCTAAGCACCCATTGGGTACCGTGGGGCTATGGGGGATACATGGGAAAGGGGGGACGCCACACGGACTCTGGCGAGGGAACACGTGTGCATGCAACATGCACACATTCTGGCTCCGCCTACGAGAACCGCCGGGTGGTACCTCCGCGTTCGACAGTCAGAGACCATCTACCACCTACGGACAATCACAACATCCATGACCAAGAGAAACATTTCTCCTGGGACGGGACTCGAACCCGCACAGCGCACGGCGGCTGATCAGGAGACCGAAGGGTCTACTACTGCGGCCACCGCTGCTGCCTAAAACAAACACACAACATCCATGGCGAAGGCGAGATTCGAACTCGCGGCCCGGCCGGCCGGCTGATCAGTAGCACGACACTCTGACCCACGCGGCCAACCGAGGTCCCGACTGATTTTCAAAGACGACAAAGCCTTTTGGTGCGTGGCATAGTAGCAACCTTGGGTTAAATTTTCATCAAAATCCGAGTTTTCCTTTCCAAGGTTTAGAGGGGTCAAAGATTACGGGACAGACAGGCAGACACACCAAAGGAAATAAGTGTCATAGTTTTTCGTGATCTACATGTCATATAACAACCCAAAAACATAATATCTCAATATCGAAATTTTTCTCGATAATAACAACTTTCTCGTTAGTAGGCGTGGAAAGAAAAATGTGACATGTTGACAAGTCAATATTTTAGAGTAATAATAAGCAATACAACATTAATATAGGTCTGATTCTTCTGCGTAATAATATACCCAGAACTCTACTTCTTGTTAAAACAACAAGGGTTCAGGACAGTTTTTCGAGCTCTTCCCATTATTATTAATACACTGTGAAGGTTATTCGATATTTCAATCCTAATTCAAATACTATGACACAGTTTTAAATCTCTCATGAAAAACTCAATTTGTGTTTGGTGTTTGAAATAACTGATTTAATTTAAACAAGCAAATATTGCATATTACCGAGCTAATAAAAATTCAAATTTCAATTTAATAAAGTGACTATTGACACCGTTGTTAAAATTATACATAAAATAAAATCAAATTCTAGTGGTACAGATGGAATAACTTTGCATATGATACTACTACATATGTATACCTGAAATTGATGTCTACTTAACGCATATTATAAACTGCTGTTTAGAGAGGGGATATTTCCCCAATCAGTGGAAACGCGGTATAGTTATTCCGCTACCTAAGTGTTCTGATCCTACTAACTATGGTCAACTGAGACCGATCAGTCTACTGCCAATTTTTTCTAAAGTATTGGAACGCGTTGTTTACGAGCAGCTCTGCGCCTACTTATATTCTAACAAAATTATTCCATCTAAACAATCTGGATTTCGACAAGGTCATAATACAGCTTTGGCACACTGTGATTTAACAGACAATATAACAATGGCACTTGATAACCAAAAAGCAGTAGCTCTCATACTTCTTGACTTTACTAAAGCATTTGACACCATTAATCACTCACTTCTTGAATCTAAATGCAGTTATTATGGATTTTCTGAAAAACCTCTTTCGTTTATTCAAACCTACCTTGAAAATCGGTATCAAAAAGTTCGTCTAAATCAACAGTACTCTACGGAACAAAAAATTTGTTCTGGTGTACCACAGGGATCAGTATTAAGACCGCTATTATTTTCATTATATATCTCAGATTTAGAAACAGAGGTAAAATCATGCAGCATACAATGCTTTGCGGATGATACTCAAATTTTCTATTAATTTAGGAGTAATGACTTGGAAACGGCAAATAATAAAATTAATCAAGAGCTTGCCCAAATTGAAAAGTTCAGTAGTAGTCATAATCTTCGTTTGAACCCAGAAGACAAATATGTTGGTATACGCAAATATAACAAAAAAGAATACCTTACAAAAGGACATAGACGTACATTTAAAAGGTAATAAATTAATTCCTGTGGATCATTCGAAAAACCTAGGTATTATAATGGACGATGACTTAAAATTTATTGCACACGTGAACTATCTAATTACTCAGTGCTACGCTATTCTCAGAGTTTTATTTGCAAATAATGCTATATTACTTAAATCTGCGAGAAAGCAATTGTGTGAATATTTCGTGTTTTCAAAGATATCGTATTGCTTAGAGGTTTACTATCCCTATTTAGATATTATAACAAGAAATCGTATTCAAAGTATGATGAATACATGTTGCAGACTTGTAAATGATCTCAGAAAATATGATCATATATCGAATGCCATTAATGAACTCAAATGGATGAAAACTGATGAAATGTATAAGTACCAGCTCCTAAATCTGACTCATAAGGTTCTTTATTCAAAAACACCGTCATATTTAGTAAACAAATTCATACCGAGAAGGAATATGCATCGTATTAATATTAGATATAGAGAGACTTTTTCAATTCCACGCCACAGCACGTCTCTATTTCAGAATACATACATTTACAATGCGATCAAATCATATAATTCTTTAGACCGCAGTTTAAAAGAAACCAATCCATTATCCAAATTCAAGAAAAAAGTGAAAGAAGTTCTTCTTGATAAGCAGCGAAATCGGTTGTAACCCATAAGTGTCCTCATATTTTCCTTATGTATTTACTTGGATTATACTTTATTCTGTCGTCGTTATTGTATACAGGTGCCTATTAATTTTCAACAAATTCTTTTTTTTTACATCTCGTATTGTTAAGGGGGTTAGATGGTAGAATAGATATATAATCTAAATCTCGCCTCCTGTAAGAATATTACAAATAAAAGACGTCAATTATTATTATTATTACAACTATTTCCCTTCAACTCTCTTATATTGACTTTATTTTCAGTCGAAAATCTCTTTACTCCACGATGCTGTGAACAGTGGCAGACTAGAAGAACTCCAAGCAGCACTAAACGAAGAACCAGAAAAAAAGAAGAAACTCGTGATGGCCAAAGACGAATCCGGTGTAGGACTGCTACACAAGGCTGTGTATTATGACCTTAAGGACATTTATAGATGGCTGATTGACAAGTTTCCCCATATTATTAACATGAGAGATTCGGTAAGCTGTGGAAATATACTAATATGAATAATAATAAAAGTGCTCTGAGTTATCGCTGAATGAACATCGAGCGGCAGCTAAGTGACACGCCTGGACACGTTTGTTTTTTTTTTGTTAAGTTTGGTGTTTCAAATTTAAATACTCCAAGTAAACTGTCGCTCACATAGTAGATGTAGCTATGAGATACACGTTTTCTAACTATCTCAAATAGTGTGGGATACACATTTGTTTTTGTATTTACTAGTTCAGAAGATTCTTAATCAATAATATACAGGGTGTTCCTTAATGATATGCGAATATTTAAGGGTGTGAATGTACATGAAACATTAATGTTAGTTTGCTTTATAAACTATTGTCCAAAAATGTTTCCTTACAAAAACTCATGGTGGAAGTTTTAGGAAAAAATTGGAAATTAATTAATATTTTCAGAACGTAGTGAAAGTTAATAAAGTTGCATATTTTTCAATGCAAAAATAATTTTTAGCTTTAACAGTGGCGTGCGTACGGGTATTGACTGCGATATTTTTCAAGAAAAAAATGGTACTCCAATGGTTTTTTGCCAAATAGAAATTATTTTTGAATTCCCCATTTAATTTAAAACAAATGGTCTCTCTTGGATTGTTTTCCTTCGATGCGCCATTTTTTAGTTAACAATTAAAAACCGTTCTATTGTCAAACTTGCAAAATCGTTAATTTAATTGAAAAAAATAAACACATTGGGGGTAATGAACAACAACAACTGACAACATAAGCATAACATTAAAACCAACGAAATGATTACAAAAATTGTTGAAAATGGCCCCCTTCACTTAGTATGCATGCTTCCGCCCTGCTTCTCATGGAATTGCGCACTCGTTGAAATATCCCTGGAGTGTTTTTTATTATATCACAAGCTGCAACTATTCTTTCTCTTAAATCCTCTATAGTGTTAATGGGACTTGTGTACACTAGTGTCTTAAGATTGCCCCACAAAAAGAAATCTAAACTGTTGAGGTCTGGGGCCCTTGGTGGCCATTCTTGGGGCCCAGGGCGGCCAATCCAACGATTACTATAAACAGTTTGTAAATAATTACGAACCGCTATACTGAAATGCACTGGTGCACCATCATGCATGTACCACATGTTGTTTCTTGTTCCTAACGGAACATCATCAGGCAGCAAAGGCAACTGTTGTTGAAGAAAATTGAGGTAAGTCAGTCCGTAAGTCGTCCCGGCAAGAAGAATGGGCCAATAAAGTGGTTACCAATAATTCCTGCCCATACGTTAACCGAAAATTGGTGTTGGAAGTGGGTTTCGGTTACGACATAGGGATTTTCTTCTGCCCACAAATTATTATTGTGGAAATTCTTAATGGCATTTCGAGAAAAGTTAGCTTCGTCTGTGAACATAATCATTGATTCAAATTGCGGATTTTGTGTAATTTTTTAAAGGTACCTCTGACAAAAGGTCACACGCCTTGGAAAATCAATGGGAAGTAATGCCTGAACTCGCAAAATATGGTAACGATATAACAAAAAATCCACTAAAATTCTCCAAACAATTTGATGGCAAATATTTAAGTGTCTAGCGATCTTTCTCGTACTCGTTCCAGGATATTCTTCGACTTCGTGAAGCACTGCTGCCTCAATTTCAGGTGTTCTGACACTTAGAGGTCTACCTTTAGATGTTTCTTTTCGGACAGAACAGGTTCAACAAGACGATGATGAATATTAGAAAAAGTTCGACTATCTGGCAAAGCACGATCGGGATATCTCTGGTGATAAATTCGTCTGGCTTGCTCACCATTACCGTCGGTAAGGCCATATACGTAATGCATTTCCGCCATTTATGCATTTGAATAATTCACCATTATTTACAAGATTGTAAAAAAAATAATGAAAAATATGTCACAGCGAACAGATTTGAATAACAGAGACTTGTCAGATATCAAAAGCCAGTGACATATGCCAGAGCAACTAGATATTTATTGCTAAATTGCATTCCTCAATTATTACATTAATTTTCTTGGACAATAGAACGGTTTTTATTTTTTTTACTCAAAAATGGCGCATCGAAGAAGAAAAAGTCAAGAGAGATTATTTGTTTTAGATTGAACGGGTAATTAAAAAAAAAGTTTATATTTGGCAAAAAACCATTGGCGTACCATTTTGTTCTTAAAAAATATAAAAGTCAATACCCGTACGCACTCCACTGTTAAAGCTAAAAATTATTTTTGCATTGAAAAATATGCAACTTTATCAACTTTCACTACGTACTGAATATCAGTGAAATATCTACAGAGGTTCTGAAAATATTAATTAACTTTCATTTTTTCCTAAAACTTCAACACAACGAGTTTTTTTAAGGAAACATTTTTGGACCATAGTTTGTAAAGCAAACTAACATTAATTTTTCATGTAGATTCACGCCCTTAAACATTCGCATATCATTAAGGAACACCCTGTATAACCTTGATTATAGGTTCGGGAGAATGGTCCCCTTTTTTGGTATCGCAGACTAAAGACAAGAAATACACTAGAAGCTGATAAATGTATAAAGTGTTTAAATTTGAATGTGTATCTACTTTATATTTTAATTTTTTTTATTGGCCTCACTGAGTCATGTATGGAAGTCGGGTAATTTTCATTCCTTTCAGCCTTTGGTACGAACATCATTCTTACCCTATTCAATATCCTTATCCAATAACCACGATCGTATCCAGACAACCAGTTATACAACCTTCTCCTTACTTGGTTGCCTAGGGTGGTGTCCCGTCTCTTCTGTCGTTTTCACTTAGCCTGGATCATCGATATCCTGTAATATCAGTCGTTCGTGGTGAACGAGTAAACGAATTATGGTCGTCACCTTTTCGCGTTAGGATCATGATCCCCTTTTTGGCGCCTCTCTTATGGCTATTTTAATTGGCTATCTTCAGGAATTGATTAGCATATTCCACCTGAAGATACCCAATTAAAGTAGGCTTTAGAGATGCGCCAAGAAGGGATCTGTAAGATCCTAGCGCCATTTCTGAGCCAGTAGCAGAACCAAATACTCTAATGCTACATTCGTATGGGGCAAGAAGATGACAATGTGGGATGCTTTCGATTTTGTAGTATCGGAACCGGTTGAACTGAACGCTGATGCTTTGGCAGACCGCTTGTAGGTGGCGTTTCTCACTTACTTGCACAAACCAGTCGCAGAACACATTTTTTTTATACTCCAACTACCTCGAAGGCCTAAGGCCTAAACACCCATTGGGTACCGTGGGGCTATAGGGGGATACAGGGGAAAGGGGGAACGCCACACGGACTCTGGCGAGAGAACACGTGTGCATGCAACATGCACACATTCTGGCTCCGCCTACGAGATCCGCCGGGTGGTACCTCCACGTTCGACAGTCAGAGACCGTCTACCACCTACGGACAATCACAACGTCCATAGCCAAGAGAAAAATTTCTCCTGGGACGGGACTCGAACCCGCAAAGCGCACGGCGACTGATCAGGAGACCGAAGAGTCTACTACTGCGGCCACCGCTGCTGCCACAAAAATGAATTTAGAAATCTACTTTGAAAACAGTTAAAGTGTTTGGTTCTACTACTGTCTCATAGACGGTGATAGGATTTTAAATCCCTCTTTAGACTTTCAAATGTCTATTTTAATTGGGTATCTTTGGATAGAATTCGTTAATCAATGCCTCAAGATGAGCAATTAAAGCTAGGCTATGGAAAGGCGAAAAAGGGACTGAAGTTCCTAGCGCCATCTATGAGACAATAGCAGAATCAAACAAACTAACTCTTTCCAAAGTAGATTTCTAAATTAATAGTTGTGTTCTGCTACTGTCTCATAGATATGTCGACAGGGTATTTCAGATCCCTTTTTGAGCGGCGGAATACAGTGTACCGGGTGTTTCAAATTCGACCCTCACCATTGGGATCCTGGAAACGGCAAGAGATGCGAAAATGTATAAAATTCCAATATAGCCTCCATAAGAAAAAACAACGTTGGTCGAAAGAAGAAATGTCGAATTGAAAATTTGCCTACGCCATCTTTTAGTGGAGAAAAAATAACAATGAGAACATGCAATTTATTCTGAAATCTTATCGCAAATTAAGCCACGAAAAAATAAAAGTGGTATACGAAACAAATGATGACTATCCGATAATTTCAGGGCCTACCTAAAAAATTTTGCTTTTTTGTAATAACTAAGGCTTGGCAATGTCAATGTATAATGGATTGTACATTTCTGGAATCAGAATTGGAAACCATATTCATCTGTGCATAACATCCATATGGCATCCATAATAAATAATAAAGTTGAGGCAAGAGAGGAAGAGTGATATAGAAATTCTAATTATGCCATCTTGTAGAGGAGAAAAAGCGGAGACAAAATTAAGTCGATTTTGGAAAAATTTGGTTTTTTGTCTCTCTCCGGAAGTACTTTGAATTTTGAAACTTTCTACGCAACTTTGCCCCAATTTAAGCAACTTCGTATCTCTCACAGTTTCCGAGATCCCAATGGTGAGTGTTGAATTTGAAACACACTGTACAGTTGACTATTTTAAAATTTCGACTTTCAAATTTTTTTGAAATCTAATTTTTTGATTTTTAAGTTACAACGCAAAGATACAATACTTGAACTGTATAATCAAATAACATGAATATCGTTAAAGGTCTTCTGTCGGGCCGTTGTTCAGTCGCACTTAACTAATCTATGCAGGTTCAGCACATTCTTATGGTGGCGTGATGCTGGGATTTGTTCTATTACAAAGTAAAGGATTTGTAGAAACATAACTTTATCTTGAGGCAGAATACATTAATCATGCGTCCTCGCATCGTGTCCGTACAACCTCAGAGAGTTCTACGTTTGACGTCCCTGTCGGTGTTGGTTGTCGATCAGCAAACCCGCCGATTGGGAAGTGCGCTCAGTAATTCGGTTTTTTAACCCAAAAAAAGTTCGTCCTGCTGAAATTCTCCAGCAGCTTGTTGAATTAGAAGCATTATTCTGCTATCTATACTGGGT